GTGCGAGTTATGGTGTGGACAGAATCCGTCTCTGAAGACCTCAGCTCTGGACCAAAGGTCGTTCATTGTAAGACAGTTCACTCAGCCAAAAAAAAGTGTCCGCGGAAGTCCGTGCATTGGTTCAGATGGCGCTGCAGTCTTTGGTTGGGATTCGAAGCTCTCTTTTATTTCTTCACAGAAAGAATCTAGGAATAGCCATAGAGTTACCCCCTTGTATGTACTATAGTGTACATCTATGGGAATAGCTCAGTGTGTCTGCGTCGCTTTTATTGTTGTTCCCACAAGTAGGGCAACTCTGTTTGCAAAGTTCGCGCTTGTCCGAAGAGGGCACCACCGGATTTAGAGGCCGCTCTTTTATTGGCCCGTACAGAGGGGTGGACTATCTTGTTATGTACCATCTTTGTCTGGAAACAAGGACTCGAATAATCGCCAATTCTGGGAGTGAAAGGGAAACACACCTACCTACATTTGTCACCGCAATCGTATCTGACACCGTGAATGCTCTTCTTAAAAAATAGGTTGATCAATATTGGTCGTGACCGCCCACAGGGGTAGGCGTAAGCTCTTATTTTAGACGTGAGCACCATAAATAGATAGATCAATAATATGTCCGAGAAATGGAAGAAGAGCCGTGTGCAAAACGTGCTTTGGTGCTTCACCTTCACCTTCACATCGCCCCCCTGTCTGCCCCCGTCGTTTTATGCAAGAAAAATTTTGATTTTACACGTATGCAAACTGAGCCCAAAAATGTGAAATTATGCGATTCTGTTAAATTTAGCAAAGGAAGATAAAGGGAAATAGAAATTATGCGAAAAGTGATCAAAGTTTGCTAAATTATGCGGGGTGCGTAAAAGCACGGGGACAGCGTTGTGCACCAGTCTGTCTCGCCGTCAGGACTCTCCGGCAGATATCTCCATCAGTACAGCAATGGTCAAGGGAACACGTGAGGCACTGGCGCTGTGTCCCTGGGAAAGACACTCGACACGAATTGTCCTCACTTCACCCAGGTGGGAATGGGTACCCGGCCATAGACAGCGAAAGATCTGTCAGTATGTTAGTGTTTTAGCGCCTATAAATGGCTGCTTGCACTGTATGCTTCCCTGGAAGTTGGACGTTGTTTCAGAATGCTCTCAGGTCTGCTGGGGTAATACTAATACATGAATACATGTAGTATAGATTGTGAAGCGCATAGAGCTTGCTGTTGGGTGGGGATTTTCGCTATACAATGCTATCTATTATTACTGCCAACAGCTATAGTACATGTAGCTTGTTCCCCCTTCCCCTTCAAGGTGGACTCGACCAGTTTGACTGGTTAGTACGACCTTCAAAATAATCTGTGCTTGTCACGAGACTGCATACCGAGAGTGGTCCGAAGAGGGGGGGGTGAGAAGGAGGGAGGGGGGGTTGGTAACTGTATTAGAAGGACGATCGTGATTTTGACAAGAGTTGTTGTTGTTGTTGTTGTTATCGATCCAGCAACAGCTGGGCTCTCGCCCTGACAAGAGTTAAAGAAGAGCTAGAGGTGTGTCTTTTGCAGCGGAAATTCCCGCCGTGACCATGTTCCCAATTCCAGTGGCAAGCAGGCCGGTGCCCCTTGCCTCTATCGTCTGTTCTGCTCCGCCCCTTGTTTTCTTTGTACTTTGTACGGCTGTCTCCTGTATCGCGTCTAATCTGCATCTATAACATATATATAATATGTGTGGTAATTTTAAGTTGGTATTGTATGTAAAATGTGCTCTACACGCAGAGATCTGAAATTTTACAGCAATTAAGAAGACATGTGGGGCGCCTGTGTGAAAAATGCGGCCCATTGACCCAGTGCATGTGCAATCAATGGGTCGTTTTCTGACCCAATGCGCCAGTTAATTCTGTGTCGTTAAGGCCACCGATCCCTCAGTCGCAGGAAATCCTTCACAAGGAAAGGCAGGACCCGAGATCAGAAACCGAAACTTGGTCAAGAAACTGGATCATCAGAATCAGAGGTAAGTCTCTCTCACAGAGAAATCTCCATGCACCTTTTGTGCCTCTTTCTCGATTGCGTGTGATTGTAGTGTAACATTTTACTTTTCCTCGTCTGTTATTGTTTTATAATATTGTTGAAAATCATTTCTCTCCTTTGGAGCCACATCGTCAAGAGGGGGAGTAGTGCTTGGGCAATCTACTTCCTCTTTGTCTACCGCCCAGGCAAAGCTGCATCAGGAAAACTGCTTGAAGATACTCTGTCAAGACGAAAAAGACCAAATTATATAGATAAAAATGTTTAATAATTATTGTTTTTTATACAACAAACTGAGGATTCTATAGCTCGTAATGCTCTGTATATATATATATATATATATATATATATATATATATATATATATATATATATATATATTTAAATATTATAGCCTACAACCCGGAAGTGACAAGAATGTGCTTAACAGACAGACCTGTCCAAAACGACCAACTATTGTCTAGGAGAAAAGTGATCATCTGAGACAGGTGCTGGCTCTCTTGGACACTGTCATTCTACATAGAGAAAAACGCATGGGGGAAGGGGGCGTGGTCGTTTGTACAGTTGGTTGTCTTGGGCAGGTGGTCGTTACAGCAGGTTCAACTGTACAGGTTTTGTGTGGGGCCCTGTCCAATCTGGATCAGTCTGTATATAGCTGGGCACAGAGGGGCCGGGTTTGGATCCGAATATTGACGGTCAGACAGTGCGGGGAGTGTAGATTTAATGCTTTTTGTCTCGACCGACTGTAGGAGGAGGACCATGACTTCAGTTGTGAAGCACAGTAATATCTAGATACATGTAGGCCTATCTATGTATTGTGTGTATGTGCGTGTGTGTGTGTCTGTGTGTAGGCCTACGTGAGAGTGCGTGTCGCGTATTCTGCGTCATCGTTTTCACAGAATTTTTCTATTAATAGCGCCAGTTAAAAATCGGAAATTCCATGTTTGTGAAATTCTTGTGTGACGTCACATCCGCCCACGATACGAGTAAAGGCGAAAAGAAGTTTGCAATTCTGTTCCAAAGTCGAACCGTAGAAGTAAAAACTCAACACACATTTTTGTCCTTTTACGTTGTGCGATTGCCAGAATGAAACAGTACCCCACCACCTCTTTAACTGCCCAGCACTTTGTGACCTGCGTAGCACCTACCTACCTGCCTCCCCAGACATCGAAAACACTCTATACAGTACCGCGACAAAGCACAGCTGATTAAAACCTGTCAATTCTTTGCCATATCGACAGACCCAAGGGCTAGAACCCAAATGGCCGCTGGATCGGAAAAGTAAAGTAAAGTAAAGTAAAAGTCCTTTTCCGAAATGTGTAGCTAGACTGTTTTATAATTAATCCCTTGGTTGGCTTAGAACAAGGAGGTTATAAAAATAATTCTTAGGTCCTTAGAGAGGAATAATATTTCTCCCCAAATGACAATAAATTTCGGGAATTCCCTTTGTCCTGGAAATTAACTCGCTCTGTCGTTGTCGTCACATCCGGCCGCCGCAGTTTCCACCAAGTAGGTCAACACAAGTTTCCGTCGCAGTCACATAGGCCAGATCTAGATCTAGGCTAGATATAGATCTATAACTTTCTATGAGCAAAGATAGTACAGCCTACGGTAAGATGTTGCAGTGGCCCAACTTTGTGAGGCGCGTCGACTCCTAGCGCCACTAGCGGCGAGCGTGCGACAGTATGTAAACAAACACGGCGAGAGACTCGCAACGCTCATGCTGTCGGCATTGCTGGCCACTTTTGTTCAGCGATCGGCCGTTCTAATTCCAGAGGAAAAACTAAATAATTGTCTTTCCTCAGATTCCCAAAGGACGAAAAATGGAAAGACAATGTGAAATTGATTTTTTAATCTAGAGTCTAGATAAGAGCTAAACTAAAGAGATAAGAGTCCAGCCCGTAAGCTTTGTTTAGTCTCTGCATCATGCATCCTTGCCTATGACCAATGCTTTGTACTCTGTACTTTGTTGTGTGTGGGTCCATTCCATTAGGTGTAGAACTAGATTCTAGATGCAAATGTTATATAGATCTATGTTTTCTGTGTTGTGGGTTATTATGCAATTTGTTCTTTAGCACAACACAGAGAGATCAGTATTTTGCATATATTAATTTGTAACTTTTTATGACGTATGGGCCATTGGCCTCGAAAGCCAATTAAGTCTAATTCAATTTAATTCTCTCTCACCGCACATACTCATACGCAATTGTACGCACGCACGCTCGCGCGCGCGCACACACTACACACAACACACTACACACAACACACA